GAATGAAAATTAAAATAATGAAGCAAATCGATTAAAAAAAATATTAAGATAGGAATTGAGGGGTTATTGGAGCTGGCCTGCTGCTGGCCTGCTCGGGAGCGGGGCTGTGCCGGGCACGCCGCTGCTCCCGGGGATGCTCCCGGTGCCTCTGCCGCTGCCAGCAGCATTCCCGGGAGCACTAGAGGGCACTGTGGGATTTGGGCCACCCCTGCCTCGGCGGCCGCGGGGGTCCCGAGCCCCCTGCCCGGCACGGGGGTGGATCGGAGGCCGTGNCGCGGCTTCTCCCGTCCCGGGGGGGTCCCGCCGGCCCCTCAGGAACCCGAAACACCCACCCACAGCCCAGCCTTTCCCCTGGCCTCGCTGCCCGCTCCATTAAACACTCCGCGCCGTGCGGATGATTTCGGTGCAGAACGCTCTGCCATGCAAACGAGCGCAATTAATGCCTTTGAAACAATTTATGATTTCCGGCCTACTTCAACATGTATTAGCATATACCTGGTTTCTTTAATATACACTTTGTTTTTCCAAAACCACAAACATAGTTGCTGGAATTTCATGTGGAAGTGCTTAAGGGGCTGAAAGTTAACACCTTTGTGAGCTGAGCAGTCTCACAGTTGCTGCTAAACAAAAGCCTCTTTGTAGAAGCTTTCTCGAAATGTTTTCTTAACATGTTCCAAGTAGTTTTAGGCAGGCAACTAAAGTAAACAAGATGTTACCATGATAAAAACACTTGTGAAAACATTACAGAGTGCACTTAGTAGTTTCTTTCACATAAACTCCCCTTCGTTTCATCCAAGTTAAATGCACATGAAGCAGATTAGCAGCATCACTGCAACACAGGACTGCCACATCTCTCCAAAGGTCCGTGTCCTTTCTTTGAAAGAATATATTTGATTTAAAAATGGTATAGCCAGGATTAAGCACGTCTAACCCACAATCAAATTATAGAAAAAAATAAAAGGGGGAGGGGGGGGGAGGAATAATAAAACCCTATTCAGTCTTATTTTTTTCCCTGGATACCTGGCTACCTTGCTGAGTAAACCACCCTCCCTCCAGCCAGCATTTCCTGAACAACTTGCTGTATAAGGGCATATATAATATATATATATATATAATATATATATGTATAATATATATATATTTCTATCTTCAACGGTCTTTAAACACATGCAAATGAAATCAAGGATATAGACAATTTTGCAGGAAAAGTCGCTCTGTGCTACTAATTGCTCCTTTCGCTGCTGCCTGCGAGACGGGCCCTGGTTAACAGGCCAGACACGTGTGCACCCTCCAGCCCTCACCTTGCTCCCTGCAGCTTGGCAGAGGCCACAGGGTCACCGCCCTGAGACTGGACTTGTTTTTGTTTTTAGGCTCAGGGAGTATTCTGGAGCATGCAGGGTGCTGCTGTTTCATTAGGCAGAGCAGCAGCCCCTGCTGCTATCAGTTAGCTCTAAACTGATTCCGCATCACATGATAACCAATGGCTGATGGATTCAAAAGAGAAACACAACACAACGATGCTAAAATTGCAACTTATTTCAAAAAGAAATAGGGAAATAAATGCTACAATAGCCCGTGTATCTGCTGGTTCTGATAAGCATCCTCCTGTTGGCTGTGAGTGAAAGACAACTAGGATCGTTATTTGTACAGTATTTATCTTTGAAATCAAGGGCCCTGTGGTGTACCTCACCTTGGGAACAAACACTACAGAACGATCACAGAAGAGTGTCAAATCTCTGGTTTTGATTTACCAACAGTTATGATATTTCTTCCTCAGGAGGAAAAGAAATGAACCATGTTTTAGACCCGCGAGTCCTTTTTTCTCCCTTAACTGAAGAATCATTTTATTGGCATACAGGGCTTTCATTCCACATACAACTTCTCTCTGCCTTTTCACAAGGTAAGTGAAATTAAGCAATACTCGATACACAGCCTGTATTTCACTTGGTAAACAAGAGCTTTTCTCTTGAGGGGACCCTCGAAAGACTATCACAGATTATACAAGTATCAAAAAGAAACTTCAACCATCTCTACCTGTTATCTTTTCATTGAGTAATGAATTCTGATAAATGGCAATATAATTTAAGGACGGATGCTCCACAGGAGACATGGAAGGCTTCAGTATTTTATGAAGCAACACTCACTTCTTAGCAGTGCCAATACACAGCTCAGGGACATCCATTTCTGCATTTGTTCTGGCTTAAATACCACTCTGAACAGTAAGACTTTGGACACTGCTGCACTTGGATAATGTGGAAATTTACACGAGCTGATGAGTTTAGGAAACTCACACAAAATAACTTCATTTGAAAGGTTTCAATGGAGGCAAAACCTACATTGATAGTGAAAAAACTAGAACTGATGGAGCAGCTTCAAGTCCAGCCTGGGCTGGTGATGGTTTTCAGGTTTTTCCTAACTACTGATTGCTGCACATTATCTCCTCCAGGTGAACTGGGGGACTGTGTCTAAGTACTGAAACATCTCCAAAATACCATAAAAAAACCAGCCCTGCCTCTACCAATGCTTGTGATTAAGGGCTGTGTTTTCTATGCATGGCCACCTCAAGCAGACCACTCAGGATTCCTATGGAATCTTCCTGAAAGCAGCTGCTCTGGAACACGGAACTAGGACAGGAAGCAAAGGTGGCACAATCTGACCATATGTGACCACACACGTTATTCTGCTATCTAAGGCTACCACAGCACCTTTCCCTTGCACTTACTGCAGTAAAGATGAGAATTGTTTCAAAGGTCTAAATGCTATAGTATGGCATATGAATATGAATGAGCTGGCAAGTATGGCAAGATTAGCATTTATTTCACTTAAGTGAACAACAGGATGAATTACAAGGAATGAAGCCACCCTTCATGGAAATTTATGACTAGCACCTTCTTATTTTGTAATCCTCTTGTAATGAGAACCTTCTCATTACTGTACCATTCCTCATTTGTAACATATGTTTATAGTAGGATGAGCGCCGCTCCTACGAACTCAGGAGGGTTTTGCCAGTGGAACCATAACTGGTCCATTCTGTTCTAAGAGCAAAACCCTATCTGTATCATCAGACATCACCCAACAAATATCCTCTACTTGCTTCTGCCCTTCCCTCTCCCACATAAAAATCCAGGGAACCGCCCCAGAAAGAGCAGGTACAGCTGAACCTTTTGGGACTAAGTCTACTTATTCATTCCAAAGAACCTCATGGATTTATGTGGACTAACTTCATGAGATGACTGCTCTAAATGGGAGAAAAATTTGTCCCCTTGTGCATTTAAATCACAAACATTGCTTGGGCGGCTGTAGTGATCTTACAACTGACCAGCCACAGAACCTGAGCAAAGATCAGGGACAAACCTTCAGTAACCTGGATGCACCCACAGCATGTGTGTACCTGGTGTCCTAGCCAGACAAAGAACTCTTTTGTGATGGGAACAGGGGTGAGGTTGATGGTTTAGTTGTGGAGCAGCCATGTGTAAGCTATTAGGGCTCTGAGGTCCTTCCCTGCATTGGGATGCACGCACTACCACACACTAGTCCATAATGCACTGTTTATGCAACGTGTAAAACTGTGTTCTTTGGCAGCAAGGAAAAGGTCTGCAGCAAACTGCAGGGGCCCAATTAATATAATTATAGTTTATTTTTAGTAGTGTAGACTTTGTTCATTAGTTACTTATTTGACATAAATTAAATTTCACGTGATGTTCTGCAATTCTCTGTTCAATTATGGAGTTAATTTAAGACTAGATTTCCAAATTAAAGTGAAATCAAGGTTAAAACAAGGTTTTATTATTTACATGATCGATACTGCAACTTAAAAATTATTTAAATAAAATTAAAAAAAAAAAAAGCTGCGGAACTGCAAACACTATTTTATAGCAATACACTGAGCAAGACCATAATTTCCCCATGGGGCTAATTTACTATCCCCTGTTAAAACGTTCTTGAGCCTGATCCAAAAGCCACTGAAGTGAAAGGGAGCTCTCTGTTGACTTCAATGGGCTTTGCATCAGGCCCAGGGTGAGTGACAGCACACAAAATTTTAGGGCATGCTTTCTGTACAATGCAAGTGCCAAAAAAACCATCCTTACTTTAGGAACGACTGGAAGTCTTCACATACTGCTTCACAGCCCGGCCATTTGCATACGCCGTGTCCGTACAGCGGGTGGCTGTGTGAGTGCTCCTCGTGGGATAAACTGGATGGGGGAAAGAGAAGAGAGAAAAAATGCTGTAAACTGAAGGTACTGTAACAATTCATCTTCACAAAGACTCCTAAAGAGTAGCAAACACCAGATCCTGAAGCATCCCTGACATTTCACGGTACCCGCCTGACTCTTGCCCATGGTTTTTCAAAACAGAATTAAATACCATTTGCAGTGTGAAACGTGTCATTCTTACTTAGCTATCCTCCTACATTTCATTCATTAATTAAGAGGTTTGTAAAGAATTTAAATTAACATGGATGGGGGAGAAATCATTTGACAGACCTGCTTAATATCCTGCTGGATATTTTGCTAAAAAATTTATGAACATTGCATATTTACAATTCAACTTCATCGAGAAGTCATCTCCATACAGCAGTGTCCCATTACACCACAACGCAGCCGGACCTGAGGCTTTCCTCATGGCTACAGAAAGGAAAAGCATTGAATCTGCAGCCTTGGCTTTCCCACCATGTTATTTATTTACTGGCTTGGTTTTCTTTCTGGTTGGGTTTTCTTTTCTTCTTCTTACAGGCTGTTTCATTGCACAAATACGTCCCACTCATATCCCAAGAAAGAAGATTCGAGATGTATTTTCAAATGCAAAATTCACAATAAAGAAGACGAGGCATGCAATCAAAGGATTCCTCAGTACGAGGGGTTAGTGGGGGCTATTAACCTTGCCTAAGATTGGGCAGGAATGTGACAGAGCCTCCTAACTACTGAACCCAGGGTTAAAGCAAAAAACTCATGTGAGCACTAAGGGGTTAATCCTTCAGCGGGATTCCAATCAATACGTAATGATTTGGCTGCACTGATCCAAGTCATGAGATGCTTTGATCCAGGCCATGTGGTGCTCAGGGAAATGTATCTGTTGCACTCACTGATGAACCATATTCTGAAATATCTTCTTTATTTGACTTCTGCATGGAAACTTCGTAAGGAAAGGAATTATTTTTTGCAACAATCTCCATAACCTTAGATGACTTTAAAAGCAAAATGTCAAAATAATATTGAAATGTCTATTTTATGCTCACACATGTATGTATTTTTCATGGCAAATCTTTTTGCTACAGTATGTCTGTGCTGTATTATGGACTTCAAACATACACAAAGGATATGAACACATACCAACATCTAGGTGTGGCTTTTATGACTTACTTCATCCTGGATTACAGGTAACATTATAGGTAAATGCCCACTTTTTTTTGTCATTTTCCTTTTACACACATGTGGAAATGCTGTTTATCTTCTTCTGTAATATTATCTGTCTGTGCACTTTGACAGAATTGTGTTCCTCTATTATTTCAGATGCACTGGGTAGACAGATCACTGTAAATATGCTCCTGAGATGTTATCCCAAATACAAACTAGTTGGAAGAGGAAACCCTCCCAAATTCTGCCACTTTTGACTTAAAGCCCAAGGAGAATCTGAAGATTACTAAAGGTGCTTTTAAAAATTATTAAAAAAAAAAAAAAAAAAAAAAAAGAATTAAAAAGTACTGACTAGAAAAGGTATTATGAGTTTTACATGAACCTAATTAATTACTGCATTAATATCTTATTTTTAGCTGTTTACAAATAGTCCTTTCAAGCATAAATATATATGTGCAAGGTAATTTCCTAAAAAAACAACAGTAGGGGATAAACCTTATATAGACCTTCCCTATATACGAATATTAGACTGGTTTAACTGAATCAGTCTTAAAAAATGTTCAAGTGAGGAGAACCTCTGTAAAGTTTTTAAAAGAACTAAGGAACCAATGCATTAATTGCAAGGAAATTAGAAAAATACACTACACATTTCCTCATCTGAGGAAGAGGAGGAATGGTTGAAGAACAGCATCCGCCCAAGCTAAACAGCCATATGGTCAAACATCCTCCATACACATCAGAAAATTCAGAAAATAATGGGGTTTAGCATCTGTTTCTGTACCTGGATACAGCACAGGGTGAGAAAGGAGGCTTTCATGTTAACACTCTATTAAAATCCATAAAGACTACATATGAGAGTTATGATTTCAGTGTGTTTGGAAGAACAAAAAAGAAAAAAAAAAAAAGCAGCAGTGTATGAATCTGCCCAGTGCATGTTACCCACACACTGGGACTTGTGATGGCCAAGTAAGGAGTCAGTCCCCTGTGGGGTTTAAGCACTGTAAATCTCATTATAATATCAACAAGAGTCACATGGCTTAAACCCCCAGCAGGGATTTTTAAAGTTTCTCTGTGAAAGCCTAAAGGCCATGGCCAAGTCAACGGAAAGAGCCCTACCGAGATTTGTATTTATTTTTTAAATCCAAGTGCAAATCTCTTTTCTTTCCAGGGAACTTGCACAAGACAAGACAAACTATGTAGGACATGACACTCTGGTACTGTGTCCAAAGAAAATGATGGAATGACCAAGACAATATCAAACTCTAAATGATGCTCAGGATGTGAAAGGCTCGTGCTGTCAATAACCTAAAGGCTGGTGCTGACTGTAAATGGGAACTTAAAAGGTCACTTTGCTAACACCTATGCAGAGCTTCCACTGCCATTCAACCAAGAAGAGGAACTACTTCAACTTACCAAAAATAAGATATTTCAAAGAGAAAAAACCCTCAGTCCTGAGAGACAAACACCGGCCCCTCTGCAGGCACTGTGCCATTCCAAAGGCAGCGACTCCCATCCTGCTTGGGAGGGTTTCAGCAGCGCCTTTCGGTGACCTTTATGTGTCAGTATCAGATTACTGCTATTTTATCCATCCCACTTTTGAAGATATTATAGATTGCCACTTGTTCCCTGATAGAGCCTGAAGAAGCACCTCAAAACAAAACAAAGAGCGGGTTTATACAGAGGCGGATGTAACGCACAAAGGATACAGCCAGTGGAAATGAATGGAGAAGTCTGTTGAACTGATCTAAGTACCCACTTTGTTTGAGCAAATAGAGGTGGAAAAAAGAAGTTTTAATCCAGTAAATAAATAAACATCTTTGTGAGCATAACGCAAACCCATAATCTGAAATTGTTCACTGGTATTTTGCCTGCACGCAAGCACACCTCCTGTAATCTGGATGCATCCTTGGTCTCGTTGCTGGAGACAGACTTTTAGAAGATCTGAGCATTGGCAAGCAGAAGCAAGTTTTAGGTCTGTTTGATTTCTAATGACACATTAGAGTAGGTGTTTGTTTCTGTCACCCTCTCCTTCCCAGGAATGCATATTCATGGTTGGGTACTGGTGATGCAACACCAGTTAGTGGAAATGATTTTATAACAAGATATAATTTTCAAAGTAGTGAAGGAATAAATGATGTAAATTCAAAACAAGGTGGGTTTTTTTTCTCTTCGTAAGTACTTGTATAAAAAATAGTTAATACAACAGAATTACTTCCAAATAATGCAATAGTGATGCATTATTACATCGAACTACAGCAAAGAACACTTTGGGAAGTGAAATGTCTTGCATAAGTCACTTATTCATGACATACAAGAGAATAACAAAACCCACGTGCAAGGCTGAAAACTGTTTAAGTGTCCACTTATTTTCTGCTGCCTCCAGCTCTGTTTCCAGTACAGAGGGGAGGGGAGAAGGGACGGGCATTTCCACAGCTCCTCTGGGCTTGATGGATAGAGGAGAGGAAATTTTCCCCCTATTCTGCCTCATAGCCCCAAGGATCTCCAGGGGGTCTGGTAGCAATTTCACCTCCCATTCCTACAGGGATGGCTGCTGAAGCTGTTGCTTGCACAGCCCACTCCTGCCAGCCACTCACCTTCTGGAATACACCTGCTGTGCTACAGCATCCTGAAAGAACCACGCTCTGGGACACGAGAGCACAGGAGACAGAGATGCCAGAGACAGCCAAGTGCTGATGGAGAGTGAAAAGGACACCCCAAAGAGAGCTGGGAACATGCTGGGTGGTACTGGGGAAAGCAGTGACCAAAGCCCCGGCATGAAAGCTCCCAGTGTTCTTTAAATGGCTTAATTCAACCTCCACTAATTAAGCACATGGAACTGTGCTTGTACACAGTGGCTAAAAAGTCGTGGGTAAATATAAAATCCAGCTAAGTAGAAGCCTCAGTGTCTGTGCTTCTGCCACACAGTGGACCATATTTTAAATATTCATGATGCTGACATACTTCATAATTCCATTCTCTCTCTTCCACATCTGCTTGGGCCAATGATCTTTGCCAAAACACTGGGGGAAGTCAGTGATGGAGAGAACCATCCTTGACTTTCCATTACAGTTATGAAGCATCTGCTCACGTTCTAACAGAGCTCAGAACATGCCTGAGCCACCTGCATGCTAAAAAATCAATACCACATCTCCTGCTTTCTTCCTGCAAGAAGCTGGAGCACAGAACCCTCAGAAAGCACAGAACTGCCTTTTTAATTTTATTTTACTCCTCAGGGTCAATGGGAAGTGACCTCATCTTTGCCAGCTGCCATGAAACTGATATCCGTGTACAGCCCAGGCAGGAGTATGGGGCTCTGTTTCACGCCACATTCCCCTTCTCTCTAATTTAAATGGCACAGCCATTGAGACAAAATGCCACAGTTTTGGTCCTGTACAGGAGAAGAAGACACACAACAGGAACCAACATGGCTCTCCCAGAGTTGTGACTGCCTGGTGAGCACAAAAGCTCATCAGAAAGCACCACAAGAATAAGGCTGCTGAAAAAGTCACAACTTTCTGAGTCAGAAACACTCACTGTGTTTGATTTGAAAGTGAAACAGAAGCAGTAATGATTAAAGCCTTGTACTAACTGTTCAAGTGAAAGTTCCTGCCTTCATGACAGAATCAACCGAACAAAGATGTGCTTTGCAGTGAAGTTCCACTGCTGCAAATCCCTTCAAATTCTTAGTAAGGTGGCACAGCAGCTCTTTCCTCTCTAAAATGTGAATTAAAAGAAAAACCCAACCAATAACTAAAAAAAATAAAAAAAATCTAGATACTCATGCTCCTGTCCAAACCTCAGGAACTGCCCAGGAAGCAGATATGTGATCTATACAGGGGGCTGTCCAGGCAGGGTGATGCCTCTCCATCACTGGATAAAACTTAATAGAAGGTCATGGGCTTGCAGGAGAGGTGGCATTTGATGTGAGTGTTGTCAGCTCTTTCTACAACTGGCTTGCAAATCTCCTGGATGATTTTTAGAGGAGCACTTCTCTTCCTCACTACTTTAGTCCACATCCAGACCTAGGACTAGGAGCAGCTCGTGTTTTACATCAAGCCCTATTGGAAGTAACAAGAGGTTGTATTACATTCTAAATGACTACACCAATTTAAGACGACTCAAGTTAAAACTGCAGCCCACAGGCTGAAATCCTCTCTTCTAATTGGTGTGAACTAACTTGTATACTCCTGTAGCATAAAAAGGACAACAGTCCTGGTGTTGTAACACGAGGCCACCTGTGCACCCCATATCACTGCCCCCTATTTATGCCTCTTGTGGCACTATTCCCTAAATCCCTGTTCTGCAAGGAGAACCCTGGAGAATCTGCAGCAAGACTAAGACAAAATCTGGCTGCCCTTCCCTTCTACCCCACCCTCATTGCAAAGAGCAGAACCAGACTGGATAATTATAAGCATCCTCTTCTGGTTTTGATCTATCCACTGATGGTTTGGATTATTAATCAACATTATGACCCTCCAGCACTCTAACATGTCCTCCTTCCAGTGTCAATCCCTCTTCCATCTCTGCAGGAAAACTGCCACAGGGCCTGGAGACCCACTGCCCTACATCCCTTCCTTGGAGAAATTACATGTATTTCTTGGGAATTTAAAAGAAATGCCCATTGCAAAAAAATCCATCACCTATCTCCAGTGCAAATTCCATTCCTGCATTTGAATTAACGAGTTTCTCTATGATTTAAAACTCTTATTTTTTTTATTTCAACCTTGTGCCTAGGTACTGTAGTGAAAAGTACATCAAATATACCCAGACACACACGATTTGAAACGCTGGATTTTAAATTCCAGCACTGCTAACTAATGAGAACAATTTTTTCCTTCTTCTTCTTTGTAGCATCACTTCATGTACTTACATACCATAATCATATCCTCCTAGAGCCTCTATTTTTCCAGGGTGTAGATCTTTAATTCCCTTTAATCTGTCTTCATAGCCTATTCCCTCCAACTCCTTTATCATCCTAGCTGCTCTCCTCTATATTTGCTCCAGCTTCTCTTTATCCTTTCTGCAAGAGAGTGGCCAATTGTACATCACACTCAATGTGGTTTAACTGGTTCTGCATAAAGTAGAACAGGGGAAAAAAAAAAAAAAAAAGGACTCGGATGCAACATGCATGTTTATGCCTCCCATGACTGCATTTACCTTTTTGACTAAGACATGGCACAGTGTCCCACCTTAATTTCTCAACCCCGATTATGTCTCAGCCATTTCCCACACAACCGATGCTGAGCAGCTGACGTGTCACGTCAAACCCGCAGTTTGGAATTTTGATTTCCTAGCTGGGCTACTTTCAACTTATCCCTGCTAAATCTCATTTTATTCCTCTCTGAACAGTCTCCTAATTTATTCAGATTAAAACGGATTGATTCAGTATCTTAGTTTAATTAGGAAAAAAATGTGATCCAACCACTTTCTTGGGTTTTTGGGGCTGGGGGAATGTTCTGCAGGGGTTTTTTTCAGATTTTTTTTTTTTTTTTTTTAACACTGACTTTCAGCACAGCAATCCCATCCCTCTTACACACCCATTCACACGGCAGAGGGAGGTGGCAATGGCAAAGCTTTGGCCCCAGTTCAGCAACCCTTTTAAGAACACACACAAGTATAAAAACACAGGATTAGACCTTGGACTTCACGGAGACCGAGGTGTAAAATTACCAACGAACATACATACTTTGTAAAAAGATCCTGTTTGCCAACCTGATTTTACTGTAATTTATATTCTGTTGTAACATTTAAATTTATAGTAAAAGAAAACACTGCGAAACAAGATCTATTCTTGTTCAACAAAATTCTATTCTGTTACATTTAGAGTTGAGGCAAGCCTTCCACTCTTATATAAACCGGCGATACGTCAACAAATATGATTAACAGGGATTATTCACGTCAGTATTTTTCACCCCTGTCCCACAGGCACAACAAAACCTGTGCAGAAGGTGACTGTCACATCACACACAGCCTGGCAGCTCGCTGGGGGGGCCTTCGCCCACCCCACACCCCTGCGGCAGCAGCAAAGTGCCCTTGGGGAAATGTTTATAAAAATATAATTAAGATAAATAATAACTCCAAGGGAAAACTACAGCTAGAGCATTTCATTCTCTCTGCTGCATGCCTTCCCCTTGGAAGAATGCTGTTTAAAAAAGTGCTAAAATTGAGAGGACACAAGCCTGCTTCCCCAGGGAAGCGTGCTGAATCATACAGGTAGTGTAAATATCATATGCTGCTGCAGGTGCTAGGCTGTCTATTTGTTTGTGTTTACTAAAAGGCGTAACAAATAGTCCTACTAAAACAGAACAACACTTGGCACTGGACTGATAGGTACCAGAGCAGCCACAAATCACACTCATGCATTTAGATCTGAACTTCTGAGCAACACTAGAGCTTCACCCTACTTTTTGGGAGGGCCTCTTTGCCATGATTTGCCCCTTTCAGAGCACAGAGAAGCTCAGCATCCTTCCCGAGCATCCCACACCCAGGGAAAACCATGCAACAGTGGGAAAGAAAGCCAAAAAAAGACAAGAAGTACAGAACAGGCTTGCATGACATACATGGCCAGCTAACATCGTTTACAGCTTTGCAACTCCTGAGTTAATTCACAGTATAAACAACAAGGAAAATGTTTCTTCCGAGCAAGACTTCCTGTAAACTGTTCATTAGAGCGCACAGGGCGCAGGGCTGTGCACCTGCTGATTAACCATGCGCTCCAAGAATAAACACAAACCCCAGCCAGCCAGATTGTTCTGGAATTTGCTCTGAGCTGATTTTTCTTCCCCCATGTTATAAATTGGATTCTACAATAAAACAAACAGCAGAACATAGGTTGCCGAGAGTTAAAATCTACTTTTTACACTACATTGACCACAGCACCCACAGGCACAGCTACAATGTCTTTCTATGAATGGGACAGATTGCCATATGGATGCAGACACTGAACAAGCTGTACAACTCCTGGCGACAAGTGCCTAGGGGACTGTCCTATATTAGCACCACCTGTGCTGTGGAAATTGTGCTCTGTGTATGAAATGGTATTTAAGGGCCCATCGCGATGTTATTTTTGAGTATACACAAAAAGGAAAATTACAGTTAAAAAGAATTTGCTGGCTAGCGGATCTGTTGCTCAGCTCTCGAGATCGT